TCTTCCATCCCACTAGTCTCCCCTTGAAGAGGATTTTGAGAAGACTGAAAATAGGGTTGAGACTCAAAAAAGACCACATCTCTGGTGACATACTTTCTCTTGGAGGCAGGATCATAACACTTGTAACCCTTTTGTGTAGGAGAATACCCCAAAAATATTCCTTTCGTAGCCCTAGGATCCAACTTGGTCTTCTTTGGATCATTCACATGTATAAAACATATACAGCCAAAGACCCGTGGAGGAAGAGGAAAGTCAGGAAGAGTAGGACATAGAACAGAGAAAGGGGTTTTCATACCCAACACTTTAGATGGCATCCAATTTATCAGATATGATGCAGTAAGTACAGCTTGAGACCAGTATTGCTTGGGAACCTTGTGCTAGAATAGTAAGGCTCGAGCTGTCTCCAACAGATGTCTATTCTTGCGCTCAGCAACCCCATTCTGTTGAGGGGTATTAGCACAGGATGATTGATGTAACATGTCAGCATCTTCCATGATTGATGTAACATGTCAGCATTATCTGATCGGAATTGCTTAATCCGCTTATCAAATTGTGTTTCAATCATCTTGCAAAATGCCAGTTATCCGTGGAACTTCATCTCTTCCTTTTAACAGGTAGATCCATGTGCATCGAGAGTAGTGGTCAATAAAACTGATAAAGTAACGAAAGTCATCAATAGAAACAATAGGCGAAGGGCCCCAAACGTCAAAATGAACCAAATCAAAAGGAGCTCGAATTTCATTACTGGAAATTGGATAAACAGTTCTACATTGTTTTGACATTTGACATACTTCACAGACTAAACTCTTACTTGAAATGCCCTTAAACAATTCGGGAAACAACATTTCTAATGAAGAGAAAGRYAAATGACCTARCCTAGCATGCCACAGATGCAACCTAGCTATTGACTCCACACTCTCCAGACCACTAGCAGTAGATGCTTGTAAGGCTGAACCAATGTCTACATCAAAATAGTAGAAGCCTCCACACTCATGACCGCTCCCAATCGTTCTCCTCGTCAATCTGTCCTGAAAGACACAATGAGTGGGAAAAAAGGTTATGCTGCAATTCAAATTTTTGGTAAGTTTTGAAACAGGCAAAAGATTTGAGGTAAGACTAGGAACATGCAGAGATGGTGGAGAAAGACCCGTCAGCAACTCTCATCTTATCCTGACTAGACAACAAGTGATATGAAGAGAATAAGGAGGACATATGTGTCATGTGGTCAGTTGCACCGGAATCAATAACCCAAGTAGGAGAGTCAATAAGACTAGTTGCACTAAAGGCAGAGACTATACCTGATCTGGCAAGAGAGGTGGAAGCAAAAGAGTTATTCCTTAAACGGGCTAAAGCCCGGCTAAAGACCTCTACCTCATCAGCAATGAAGCCCAAGGTACCGGTTCCGAAGGAATTAGCAACCTGCCCCATGGAAGAAGAAGCCACTGTTGATGTACTCTGTGAGCTATCACCATTGTTACTAGTGACAAGGTTCCCACTTGCCACTTGACCCTTTTGTTGCTTCTTGTCTTTTTTCAATGCAGTTGGCTTCAGGTGAGGATACAGGACCCAACACTCTTCTTTTACATGTCTTTCACCTCCACAATGAGTGCACTTAAGATGCTTCTTGTCTAGATGTTTGTTTCCCTTAGTGGAAATCAGGGCTGAGTGTTCACCAAATTGTTCAGCTGGTTGAATCTGAGAGTCAACTTGCATCTCCTTTCTCCTGACTTCTTCATTCCTTACCAGATAATAAACATGATGTAACTCAGGCAATTCATCTCTTCCTAGAATTTGTAACCTTATGCCCTCATACACTGGGTCCAGGCCAGCCAAGAACTTAAAGGCTTTGCTCTCTTCAATCTGCTTATCATGTCTCTCCTTGTCCCTGGCATTTTCCTAGTCCAAAATCAAGTGATGGTCAAGTTCTTCCCAAAGTCCTTCCAAAGTTGCAAAATATGTTGCAACTGTCATATCCCCTTGCCTTAAGGCAGCAATGTCTTGATTCAATCWGTAGATTCTARCATTATTTTTCTTCTGTCCATAGGTTTTAGACACTTTTTCCCAAATCTTGGCTGCTATGGGAAAGTGTTGAACAGTCCTGGCAACTCGTAGAGTCATAGAGGCAAGCAGCCAGGACATAACTGTGGCATTCTCCTTGCGCCACACTGCATACTCCGCATTGCCAACTTCAAGTTCCTTCTTACTCCCATCTAAGTAGCCTGTGAGATCACGGGAAGTAATAAAAAGCATTGCAGAAACGGACCACTCCCTGAAGTTGTATTCATCCAGCAGCACACTTGTAATCTGCAAGYTGTGCAGATTCGGGTTTTCCAGATTTGAAGACCTCCCACCAGGTCTGATATCCCTAGAAGAGACCTCTCCGGATATTGAAGACATCTGGCTGCAGACTCTATGTAGATAGCACTGTTTCAGACTAGCCGAAGTGTTCACAATGCTGAAAAAAGACTAGTTGCAGTATTGAAGAAGGTTCTGACAGCTCACAACACTAGTTCAGACTTGCCGAGACTGTCACAGTTCTGAAGTAGTTCAGTTACAGCAGCAAATAAGGTGTTTTGTGAGTTGGTAACCGACCTGAAGATGAGAGCTCTCCACCACTACACTATGCAGACTTCTCTTGGGCTTCGATTACTGCAACTGTAGAGAGTGTTCCCCCCCTACGACCAATACTAGGACTGCTGAAATCAGCCCTCAATCTAGGTTTGTCCTATACAAACCTCTCTTAGCAGCCGAATGGCTACTCACTACTAGAAACAGTCTAGTAGGACATCAACTTCTGGGTCTTACTTCCCTTGCGCCCTACAACTAAGGGAAACCCTAGGTTCGAACCTTGTATTGTTCTCCTGCAACCCTAGGGTTTCACCGCAGCAACCAAGATAAAAAAAAAAGAAAGAAAGACAACAAGAGAGAGGAGATGGCATCGGCTGTAACCAGGAAATTGCTTAATGCTATGATACCATGTAAGCTGAAATGTTGTAGCCGAAGTAGTAGAAGAGAGGAGGAGACCAAGAGGTGTTGAGAATGTCGAACTGCTTAACCCAGTCGACAGTACTATCATTTATATTAGATTACAATACAATGTTACAGGAAATGTCTAGAATGCCCCTGATTAGTGATGGGACACCCAGACTACTTAAAACACCAAATAAACTTAGGCCCATTAACGCAGGCCCAGTACATAACAACTTAAACACAAATACAGGCTAATAAGAACACTTATCAGCCGAACCATCAATACATAAAACCCTTCAACCTAACACTTATTAGAAATTACAACTACAAATTTTTCCAGTAAGGCTCCATTTGGAAGGAGTACAAATACAAATATGTAGAGTGCAAAACCTTGTATTTTGTATTATTTTGTATGTATCTGTACTGTACATATTTGCATTTGTACTCCTTCCAAACTGAGCCTAAGGCACCACCATTTGGGAAGAGTGCAAATACCAATAATGCAAGGTTCATAAAAATGACAGCATTTAAATTTGCACTTAACATACTTGTATTTGCACTCTTCTCAAACAGAGCCTAACTTTCCTTTTTTATTGGGGGGAGGCTTCCTATAATTATTTTTCTGTTTATTTGTTATTATTTTTAGCTATTTATTAATTAAAAATATATCCATGGAAGCTTATGCCTCTTGCATCCTGATTTACACCTCACAACTAAGGATAGTGGAAAACTTCGTGTCAGCATCCGCATTTTAAAACAATGGTCTTCAGTACTCATGAAATTTATCAAATGAATAATTCAAAATCTTCATTGAGAATTTTACAAGCATTACAACAACGGACAACTGGGCATTGATGGTATGCCTCACACTATCCAGAAAAGGTGGCAGTACTCACAGAAGCTTCAGCCATTCCATTTGAAGAGGGCACTGTATAGGGGCTATATGGATGGGATCCCTGCAAGGAATGTAAAACAGATTAGGGTATGGAAAAGAGATGACCAAGAACGGGGGAAAAGATTAGATGGTAGACAAGCCTAATAGAAATGCCATTAGAAGAAATAATTCCTAAAAAAATTTAAAATTAAAAAAGCAGCAAAAGAAGTACCAGAGGGATAGAAGGATGGGCATAGACTCCATGCGTATACATGGTAACATATGGTGGTGGTGGTGTGCCATATGGAGGGATTATGTGCTGCAGGCAGAAGAAATGTTACAAGTGCTCCAGAATCAAAGCATAATATATCCAACCCGGGACATCCAAAATGACTCCAACACAAAGTCAAGGTTCGATCAAACTGAAAGCCCATGACTGTGTGCCATCATTTCTATGCAGAACCAAGTTCCATTATCAAAACAAAGTATAAGTACATACAAGATACCTGCCCCCACATGTATGGATGAGCTTGAGGACTGGATGCAACAGGAGAATGAAAGAACCCAGGCGGGGGTACTGGAGAGGCTCCAGCAGAATTATAATAAGCCTACAGGCAAGTATAGAATATTGAGGGAAATTCAAACTAGAAAAAAAAAAAAAAAGATAAAGTAGAAAACTAAAGAGTAAATCAGTAAATGGCGATACAAGAAAGGTTAGGATACTTGGCACCTGAAATGAAGTCCAATCAGGAAAAACTGTGGCAGGGCTGCTAGCAGGGGGCTGCTCCTGAAGAACAAAAAAAACAACAATAATTATAATGATGGTATCATGGTAGTAAACAACAACAATATGAGAAAACTCAACCACATAATTTTTTTAACAAATAAAGTGTGTTAACTCATGCAGACCTGTGCTGCAGATGACTTTGGTTTCTTTACCTCAGTATCATCAGTCTCAGCATTCCCCATGTCTTTTAAGGTTGATGGAAGCCTTACATGTCATCTAAATCCATTTCTAATATGCAAATCATACCAACCTAAATAATTTTTTTTTGATCAATAACAACTTCAGGAATTTTATTAAAATATCACAAGAATAGTTACAGCAAGGAAGACAAACACTCTTATCTTCCAAAAACAACTTAAGTCATCAAAGAAAGAAGAGCAAAAGAAGAAGCAATTTAGTTACAACTTAGCCCAAAACATTACATCCCTTTCTATCCCCTGTTTAGCTAGCCCATCAACTATAGAGTTAGTTGTTCTTTTAACCCAACTCATCCTGATTTCCATTTCCCGCACCAGCCACTTGAATTTTCTCCTCTCATTGCTGTATTTCCATAATCCACAGTTGTCTTTCCTCAGCCTCCCTATCACCACCTCCGAGTCCCCTTCAATTATGAGTTTTCTGACACCCATCTCCTTAGCTTTCTGAACTCCTTCCATAACTGCCAAGATCTCAGCTCCAAGAGAATCCCCCACTCCAATTGGACCTGAAAACATGGCAGAAATGACCCCCGTTCTCATCCTTAAAAACACCCCCAATCCCTGATTGTCCAGGATTCCCCCTACAGCTCCTTTCAAAGTTCAATTTTAGGAATCCAGCAGGTGGGGGGGTCCAAGACACCTTCACAACTGATTTGGACTTCATGCAGTTTAAAATCTCACCCCACTTCCTCAACATGTCATCCACTGTGTAGTCTGTGAATAGCTCTAAAGATTTCAGCCACTGTACAGCCCTGACATGGATCACAGCCCTCAATTCTTCAGCCCCTCTCTCTTCTTCCGAGAAGATTCTAAGATTTCTTTCTTCCCATAAAGACCAGCATACTGCAGCCCTCAGTCCTCTCCACATAGTCCTTCCCCTTTTCATGCGCCACCTGAAAAAAGAAGGGGAAAATAGGCTCTACAAATCTGATGGAGGGTTCCACCTGCCCAAAAAGAGAAAAATCCCATTCCCAAATTGACTTTGCAAATTGGCACGACACCAGTAAGTGAAAACCAATTTCCCCATCCGATTTGCAGAGAACACACCAATGAGGTGACAAGCATGTATTGGGTCTCTTCTTTTGAAGCAAATCACCAGTATTGAATCTTTCCAAATAGGTTTCCCAACAAAAACTACCAACCCTAGGAGGAATTGGTCTGCACCAAACCTCATTAACCGGGAAAGGGAGACTGCAGGACTGGTGGACTGACATAAGACTTTGAAGAAGAAAGCACAGGAAAAAGAGCCCGTGGGGGTCGAGGTCCAAGTTCTAGAGTCCAACTAGTACAATTAAAGATACAAGAAAAATGAAAGAGTAAGAATAAACCTGTGTGGAGCATCTGAAGAGTCAGTCAACCATATCTTCATCCATTGTGCCTTTACTACCCAAGTATGATCCTGCTTCTTCTAGCTCTTTATTAGAAAGTGGGTAGTAACGTGGGATCTGAGTTTGGCACTGTCAAATTGGTGGGCACCAGGATTCAGCCCAAAAGAAAAAAAAAAAAAAGTCCTATGGAGTTCATTGCTACAGGCCCTTTGCTGGGCGGTATGGAAAGAGGGCAATCAACAGATTTTTGAATTGAAGACATCTACCTCCAATGCTGTTGTCAATAGAATTAAAAGGCACCTGATTAGCTGGATGAGGATGGATAAAAAGTTTCAGGATTTCAACATCTCAATACTCCTCTATACATGATTGGGGGGAGAAGGGTGGAGTGGGGGGTTCAGCTGCTACAATAGTAATACAAATACATACACCACTTATTAAATAAATAAAAAGCAGTCAGTTCACCACAAAGTTATCATAAACCTTTTTTTCTGTTTATCTCTTAACTTTTAAAATAGTATTAGATATGTCGTTATTATTACAACAATTATTTCAAACGTGTAGTTGATTGAAGATATTTAAAATAAAATCAGAGCCTGAAAATAAAGGGAAATAGTGGAAATCTTGTAACTCTTTTTTTATCAGTACCAAGGTACACACACAACTACTTTATCTCTAAAAAAAATGCCATCACTGTCTATCTCAGCATATCCAACCTTCCCCTTTATGCTTGCAAAACAATGATTATATACTAAATGTTTTATACTTATCGCATGCTTGTAATCTTCTACATATGAGATTGCATCATTGACTGGTTGCGAAATCACTTAGGGAGGCCCAAACAACTAGCCCTTGCCTAACTGAATTGACTACATTGGAAAGCCCCAACATAATGCTCATTGCTCAGACTATGACCCAAAATGACAAATCGGCTAAACCAGCTTGACTACTTGATAATAAGAATGTAAAGAAGTACCAAGATTGAATAAGACCGACCAGAAAAAACCAAGACAAGAGGGTAAGTCCCACTTCAAGCGGAAATGGCTTTGATCCCTCAAAAACTCCATAATATTGCTTACTCCTTTTCTGTTTCTCGTTTCCCATTCATCTATTTAACCAGAAGAACTCAGCATGCATAATACCCACAAACAAGTTCATCACTTCAACAAAACAATCAAAGAAAAACATAGGCAGAATATCCGAACAATTACACCCACATACAATAATCCATACCAACAAAAATCCAAATAAGAAAAAAGCCTAGACAAGAGATAGAGAACTGAGAGACCAATCCCAGCAGAAATAAATACAACTCATCGAACAAGACCCAATCAAATATAAAGAACGAAAAGAGATACCTACGAAGTAAGAACTCTGCAATTCCGCTTTTCTTTTTCGGCTACTGAGAGAGTTAGAGAGACTGATAAAAGAATAAAACCCTAAAAGGCCGTTCGGATAGTTTGCATGATTCACGAGTGTTTGGATTGGATTATGTTATGTAGAACCGGTTCCAGAAATCAACCCAATAATAGCTCTAACTTTAGAAACAATAGTAAGGCAGATTCTCAGATATTAGAAAGTCGACAATCCCGGGTTTCCGAATTCATGTGGAGACCCAGAATTTTTCTTCCTCCCGTCATGTTCCATGTTTCCATAGCCCCTTCTTCTTCTCAGTATTCTGGTCTGTAACTTCTTCTTCGTTGTGCCAAAAACGGAACGAAGCCTCTTTTCTTCAACAATTAAAGCTTCATGATTATCTATTTAACATCAACATCGAAGAAGAACCGGGATTTCGAAGAGAACTGAGAAGGCTATGAAAATATTTTAGCGGTAAAACAGAGGACGAAGCAAAAATATGCAGAAGGGTCGAACCAGCATACGGAAATCACAAGAATGGGTAAATTACATACTACCATCCACCCTCCACCCTGTACTTTGCGTAGTGACAAGCCCGCTGAATTTTTTTTATTCCAACAATTTTGCGGGTGCAAATGGATCGGATCATCATCCGACCCCGATCTTATTTGGTTGAATTCGGATAACCTTTGTTCGGATGTTTGGATCAAATATTATGATTCAATCAAAAATATATTTTTTATATTATATTTTTATAAATTTTGTTTTTATTTTATTTATAAAAACATGTATATACATTTTTATAAAAACATGTATATACATTTTTATAAAAACATGTATATGTATAATAAAAATAATTAAAAAATATTTATATTTTTTGTTTTTACTTTATTTAAATTAGTATATTTTAGTTTTCTTTTAATAATTTATTAATTTTTAAAGAAAACAAGTCAGATTGGATCATATCCAAAGATCTGACTTATCAATAGGATTCAAATCCGATCTGTTTGCATCCCTAATTTTGCCCTTTCATTAAGAAAAATCTGATGTGACTGTCACGTAATTATTAAACAATTTTAAATCCCAAAACTACCCTTCTCCTTATTTTGTAGCCTTGGAGATGAAAAATCTCATTTGACTATGTGATCCAACTGCATGCACCAATGCATTCTAACTACTGAGCTGTTAAATTTGGATTCCATACTCTTGTCTTATTGTTAGTTTCTACAAAATTATTGCAAAAAAAAAAAAGATATTTTAAATTGAGGAAGGCTATGGATTTAATTGTGTTGGAGCACAAAGTTGTGTTTGTTCCAATGTTTTCAATCTATCAAAATTGATTCAGCCATGATTCTAGATTTGATTTCCTAAAACCCAAGTGTTGATGCTCGGGATAGCCAAGGACAACAAAGTAGTTTCGCCCCTAGACTCCAAAGGGTCACTCGAAGGCTTCAAGGGTTCAGGGAGCTTGTTGTCAAAGCCGAGGTACACAAGTCGAGACAGAGAGGGCTCCGAATACTGTATAAGCCGAAGGTAAGTGGCCGAGGTACTGCAAGGCAGAACACGTCAGAGGCCTCGGGTGAGAACCCAAGGCAGAGTCTCCAACGGTCAAGTGACCCAGGGGTGTGCTTAGTGTAGACGCTCTAGTGCCGCCATTTTGGCCAAGGACCTGTGAAGCCGAAGGCTGTCTAAGCAGAGGACCTGCGAAGCCGAAGGCTGCTCAAGCTGAGGGCCTGTAAGGTCCAAGGATCCATGCACGGGTCAGCTTTCTAATCAGACCGATGCATGCATTCACACGATCGAGTTGCATAAGCCGGTGGTTCATAGCGGACGGACACGTCGGTTCACCCGGAGTATCGTTTCGCCTTCCGAGGGCGGGCGTTGTTTCACCTTCCAAGGACAGGCACTCGGGGGTGCAATGCGGCTAGATCGCAGCTGCGGAAAAGTTTTGTGTCTATTGGATCAGGGACGACCTATGCCATCGCTAGCGCGTCGTTTCGCCTTCCGAGGGTGAGCGTCACGCGGTGCGCCGTGATTGGGCTGCGGAGGCGGTGGCTTCTCAGCCATTGGATCTCGAGAAATCTGGGTCGTTTGTTCCCCTTTAAATAGGGCCCCTAGCGGCAACATTCTTGTTGTTTGCCTCTAAGCGCCTTTGCTTTCGAGTGAACTCAACTTCCAGACTCTCCAACCTTCAACACTTTACTCTCACTCTTTCTTCCTCTACATTTCTTAGGTAACTTTAAGCAATGTCTTTCTTAGATTATGGTCCTGAGTGCTATGATCTTCTACATGAGTCAGATGGGAGCTCTCCCCATACTCCTTCTCCCCTTCCCCCTTGAGTCCTACTCTTGCCCCCCTTCGGTAGGTGCCGAAGGCAGCCATCGAGGCGAGGACCCTCCCTGTGAGAGTGTTGCTTCTGTGACACCGAGGGAGGCTGAAGGGTCATGCCCAGCCGAGGGGGAGGGAACCCTAGACCATGTTCCCGGGACGAGGGTTGCCTAGGTAGTAGCTGAGACTAATGTCCTCCGCCTGGGTTTCAAGAACTCTCTGGATGGGGACCGGGTCAAAGCTCTAGCAAGGCAGTACTTCATTCTCTCGTCCTATGGTATGAGGGTGCCCGAAGTAGGCGAACGGCCGTGGACTCCTAAGGAGGGGGAGAACTGCGTCTACCAACATTTTTCTCCAGTTTGGTCTCCAGTTTCCCCTTCATCCGCTGATTTCCGAACTGTTGAGGGCGTATGGGATTACTCTTAGCCAGCTGGTGTCCAATGTCGTTAGGGCCATAGAGGCCATGCTGGTGGTGGCTCGGTTCCAGGGGGTGGAACTGACGCCAAGGCTCTTCCGAGCATTGTTTGTGCCAATGAGGCATTCTTCCGAGAATGGCACGTACTACCTCTAACCCCGTAAGACCAAGCCGACAGACAACCCTTCTTCCATGCATAATTGGAAGGGAAAATTCTTTTTTCTGTCATGTCCTGAGGGTTAGTCCTTCAAGTTGGGGTGGGGAGAGGGTAGCCAGGCTGCGGAGAAAAGTGTCCCCGTGCTCACGAGTGAGGAGAACGATGATCTTGAGCAGTTGCTTGACCTAGGGATAGTCCGAGCCTAGCCCTTGGTGGAGGAGGAGGTCCCACTAATTTTTTCGGGGCTCAGCCCTGCTCCCCTCGATAGGAGAGGCCCTACGGTCCCTTAACACGTCATTTTCCCCCTTGTTCTTCCCTTTTTTTTTTGCTGCATTACTGATGGCTTTACTTTGTTTGCAAAGGTGTCGATGGATGCCCACAAGGCTGTTCTGTATCGTGCTCACGCCATGCAGAAGGAGCGGGCTAAAACGCCTCAAAGGCCTTATGACGGGCAGAAGGAGAAGGACTCTACCCCTGCAAAGGGGGGCTCCTCTCATCAGGTCCCTGGTAAAAGGGACTACTCCAGCAGCTCCTGTGAAGGGAGCAACTTCACAAGTCCCTGCCAAGGGGAAGAAGCCTACTGAGGCGGGAACAGCTTGTGCCACCGAAGCCGACCATTGGGTCGCAAAAGCCTACCCAAGAGACAGAGACGGGGCAGAAGAGGTCGCCCGAGGATGCCGCAAGGGGTCAGCCCCCACAAAAGGTGACCCGTTTTGGGGGCTCGATGGGGGATGCCTTGAGGGGATCCCAGAGAGAGCAAATGGGGCCATTTTCTGTCCCCACACCCTTAGATGAGCTCGCTAAGCGGTCCAACCAAATCTTTCGTCCCCAGTGGAACATTCTCGAGGGGGACTCCATCCGGGAGGAGGGGGTTGGTTAGGCCCTGGTGAGTGGGGCCCTCCTCCCGAGGGACCGCTTTTAGATGCTGGAGAGCGTGCCCAAGAGGGTCTACACTCAGGGCCTGGAAAGCCTGGCCGAGGTAACGCTTCTTCCTTCTTCTCCGTGCCTTCTTGTTTTTCTGTGGAGCGCGCACTATCTATCTGTTTCTTTGTTGTAATTCACTATGTTGGTCTCCGGGACCGGCTGAAGCTAACCTTGGCCCAGATGGACAAGTTAGAGGAGGAGAAGGGGAAGCTCCAACAAGCTGTCGCCGCTGCTGAGGAGAAGTACCACAAATTCCGGCAGATCCTCATCAACGAACAAAAGTTCCGTATGGAGGCTCAGACGCAGCTGAAGGAGGCGCAGGAGAACCTCTCCAAGGAGCAAATGGAGAGGGCTCACATCGCAAGCCTTCTCTCCGAGGCAGAGCGACTCCTCACCTGGGCCGAGGGAAATGCGGTCGAGGTGAAAAAGAGGGTGGCCAAGGCGGTGAAGAGGGCTGAGGGAGCAGCGAAGCATGCTGCGGAGGCCGAACAGAAGGCCATTGAGGCTGAGAAGAGGGGCCAGGAGGCATAAAAATAGGTCGAGGAGCTGGTCGATCTTGCCTCCGGGGCTTACTTGGACGGGATCAAGGATACTAAGAAGGCGCTCGCAATGGATCTACCTGACTTTGACGTTGAATCTTTGAAGGTGATCCTTAATTCTCCCGAGGAGGCTACCAATTCTGCTCTTCCCCCTCCTGTAGGAGGCAAGGGCTAAGCTGGGATTTTTTCTATTTCTTCTTCTTTCTTTTTCTTCTTTTTGACAATGTACATGTATTCAGCTTGAGGGGTCATGGAACAGATTTGTAAAGCCAAAGGAATTTTTGTGCATAATGAAAATCAGTGACATTTTTTGATTTTTTTTCTTCAACTGTTGCACTTGTGCTTTGCTGTGTTATTTTTTCTTGTATTTTTCACACTTAGCTTTTGCTGACGAAGGGTCCTTGCCCCTCCAAAAGAAAAGAAATAGCGTGAGACAAGCGTAGTTCTCTTTAGTTTAGTTTATGCATAAGAGGCCTGGCAAAGAGATAGCCGAGGCGAAGCTTCTGTGGTTAGTTCGAGGCTTGCCTGGCCTGACGCCTTTTTTAAGTGTTCACTTAGGCAAGGCCAAAGAGGCCTGTGATGGAGGGAGGCCGAAGCAGAGCGTAGGGATCGTCTGGCCCTCTCCCCCTTTGCTTATGCTTGGGTAAATAGCAAGATGACCTGTCAACATGAGTGGGGACCGAGGCTGAGTTGAGTCTCGCCTGCCTCCCATTCTTTTGAGTGTTAAATTCGGTGAGGCCGAAAAGGCATGTCGTGTTGAGGGACGACCGAGACAGAGCAGAGGCCCGTCTAGCTCCACGGGGCCTAGGCCATGCTGAGGCTCGCCTGGCTCTCGTAACCCTGTGCATTAGCTTTGGCGAGGCCGAAGTGACCTGTCATGTTGGGGGGGGGGGTGGCCGATACAGGGTTGAGGCTCGTCTGGCCCAATGGGGCCTCGGAAGAGCTGAGATTCGCTTAGCTCCCATATCCCCGCATACTTGTTTTGACGAGGTCGAGTGCAACGCTCCGAGGAGGCTGGCTTCCTTTGCTGGTAGCACTAAGTGTGAAAGTTCAGGAGGCTAATCGCCGCCAAGGTGGGGCGTCGGGGCACATGGAGCCATCGGCCGTCCTGGTGTATTGTGACGCGTTAAGTCATAGATAGGGTGTTCGCTACTTATTCGTTAAGTCTTGGCGTCGGTCTAGCGAGGGGGTATAACACTCAGAGGAGGCCATGCGTCCCTACCAGTCGCGAGGCCGAAGAGTTATAAGAACTTAGTAGGTACACGCGCTGAGCATTGAACCGAAGAGGAACTTTGCTTCATTCATTTCATAATTTTGAAGAGATTTTACAATCATTTGTAGTACATCTGGAGGTTCTTCGAATTCCATGTCTGAGGTATAGGTCTTTCATTCAGGTGTTCCAGGCAAAAAGTCTCGGGTCTAACGACTTGCTTAATTCTATAGGGGCCTTCCCAGTTGGGGCCCAACTTCCCTACTCCAGGTTCGGGGACCATGACTTTTCTAAGGACAATGTCTCACTCTTTATAGTGTCTTTCTTTTACCCTGTAGCTGTAGTAATAGTCCACTCGCTGCTGGTAAGCGGCTATCCTTATCTGTGCTTTCTTTCGAGCTTCTTCCAGGAGGTCCAAGTTTGCTCTGAGGGCTTCATCATCATCGTCTTCATTGTATACCTCGACTCGGAGTGTTGGCTGGATGATTTCTGCTAGGATTACTGCTTCAATGTCGTAGGTTAAGCTAAAGGGGGTTTCTCCCATAGCTGTCTGAGGTATAGTTCGGTAAGCCCATAGTACATTGTTCAGCTCTTCAGCACACAAGCTTTTAACGCGGTCCAATCTAGTTTTTAGTCTGTCTAGTATTGTCCTATTAGTGACCTCGGCTAGGCCGTTAGTTTGATGATAGCCTACCGAGGTGTACTGTTGCCTAATGTCGAAGGAGACACACCACTCACGGAACTTAGCGTCATCAAATTGCTACCCGTTGTCGGTGACCAACATGTAGGGTAGGCCGAAGCGGCAAATGATGTTTTCCCAAAAGAAATTTTGGATGGCTCGGCTTTCACCCACTTGGTGAAGTAGTCCACTGCAACAACGAGGTACTTCCAGAGTAAAGGGGCCAAGGAGGTCCATGCCCTATTTAGCAAAGGGCCATGGGCTACTGAGGGCCGAGAGAGTGGTGGCCGGTCTGTGGCAAAAGTTGGCGTGCCTCTAGCATGGATCACACTTCTGCACCAATCTAGCTGCGTCCTTGTTGAGGGTAGCCAGAAGTAGCCTACCTTAGGGCTTTTTGGGTTAGGGCTCTCCCATCGAGGTGGTTACCACAGATGCCTTTGTGAATTTCTAGTAGCACATAGTTGACCTCTTTCGGGCGAAGGCATCGAAGGTAAGGCAAGGTGAAGGATCTTCGGTAGAGCTTTCCCTCCACCAGGTTATAGTGGGTTATCTGTCATCTGAGTCATTTTGCCTCATTTCTGTCTTCGGGTAACCATCCAGTGGATAGGAAGTTGACGATGGGATCCATCCATGAAGGTTCGATCCCTATGGGGAGTACTTGGACCTCTTCAATGGAGGGCTGAAGTATCTTCTCGACGTGCACGATATGGCCAGGGAATCCGCTTGAGGTACTTGCCAGTTTGGAAAGGGCGTCGGCTCGTGTGTTTTCAGCTCACGGGACCCACTACAAGGAGAAGCGTTGAAAGTGACGGGCTAGATTTTGAACTTTGGCGAGGTACTTGGACATACTTTGTTCCCTGGCTTCGTACTCGTCGTTCATTTGATTCACCACCAACTGAGAGTCGCTAAAGGCTTTGACGTGTGAGGAGTTGAGGTCCCTATCAAGGTGTAGACCAGCGAGGAGGGCCTCGTACTCGGCTTCGTTATTTGATGCTAGGAAGTCGAACCTTAGCGCGTACTCCAGGGAAACATCATCTAGGGTGAGAAGGATGAGGCCCGCTCCGCTTCCTTTAGCATTGGAGGAACCGTCAACAAAGAGCTTCCATCGAAGTTGAGCCTCGTCATCCACATTATCCCCCTCAACATTCTCTGGGGACTGGCGAAGGGCTCAACTAAAGGTGCATTCTACTATGAAATCTGTCAGGGCTTGTGCTTTGTTTGCGGGCCTCGTCTGGTACTGAATGTCAAACTCAAACAGCTCGATGACCCACTTCGTCAGGCATCCCGAGGTCTCAGGTTTGACAAGGACGGCCTTGAGGGGCTAGTTCGTTAGGACCAGTACAACGTGGGCCTGGAAATACGGCCGAAGTTTCCTTGCCAAAATCACGAGGGCGAAATCCAACTTTTCTATCTCAGGGTACCTAGTCTCGGCGTCGCAGAGGACCTTGCTAGCATAGTACACTGACTTCTGCACGCCATCTTCCTTGACGAGGGCTGAACTAACTGCTTCATCCCCGGCCAAGAGGTACAGGTATAGGGTTTCCCCTTCGACCGACCGAGTGAGGAGGGGAGGTGAAGTGAGGTACACCTTGAGCTCGTCAAAGGCGCATTGGCACTCCTTCGTCCATTGAAACTCTTTCAACTTCTTGATGAAACTGAAGAAGGGTAGGTAGCGGTCAACTGATTTTGACATAAAGCGATTGGGGACCGCTATTCGGCCGAGGAGTTTTTAGATCTCCTTCACCGTCCGCGGGGGTGCCATGTCTAGTATGGCCTGTATTTTCTTAGGATTGGCCTCAATGCCCCTCTGAGTGACTACGAAACCTAAGAACTTGCCTGATGTGACGCCGAAGGCAGATTTGCTGGGATTGAGTTTCATGTGATACTTCCGCAAGGTGTCGAAGGTTTTGGCTAGATCCGAGACGTGGGTCTCAGATTTCAGGCTCTTCACTACCATGTCATCCACATAGGCTTTGACGTTCCTCCCCATCTGTTCTTTAAACACCTTGTTAAAAAGGCACTGGTAGGTGGCCCCCACATTCTTGAGGCCAAAGGGCATCACACGGTAGCAGTATGTGCCATGTTTGGTGATGAATGAGGTTTTCTTTTCATCATCTAGATGCATCTTTATCTGATTATATCCAAAGAAGGCATCCATGAAGCTGAGTAGTTCGTACCCTACAATGGCGTCAACGAGGTGGTCTATCCTTGGCAAAGGAAAAATGTCCTTGGGGCAGGCTCGGTTAAGGTCTGTGAAATCAATGCAGATCCGCCATTTACCATTAGCTTTCTTTACCATAACAACGTTTGACAAACAGTCAGGGTAGTGTACCTCTCGGATAAAGCCGACGTCGAGTAGATTTTCAGCTTCCTCCTCCATGGCCTTCCACCGTTCTGGTGCAAAGTTCTTCTTGTTCTGCCCAACTGTCCTAGAGCTCGGGTCCACGCTCAGCCTGTGTATAATGACCGATGGGTCAATTCCGGGCATGTCAATGGCGGATCAAGCAAAGACGTTGGCATTATGTCTAAGGAAACTTACCAACTCGGATAGGCTCTTGGGGGGAAGGTTGGACCGGCGCGACTATTTTGTCGGGCTCGTCCTCATCTAGGGGACCGTGACGAGGTCCTCAGTCGGCTGGCCTCGACTTACTGGCTCCTCCCTGATGTCGAGTCCTTCTAGTGGCAGAGCTTCTTTATTCTTGCCCTTCAGTGTTGCCACATAGCACTAGCGGGTGGCATGTTGGTCCCCATGAACAACTCCGATGCCGTGTTCGGTGGGGAACTTCAATGCGAGGTGGTAGGAGGAGATGGCTGCCCGGATTGCATGAAGGGTTGGTCTCCCCATGATGGCATTGTAGGGTGAGCCAATCCTCACAACCAGGAACTCTGTCATCCTTGTCACCTGCTAGGGCTCCACCCCTACTATGACTGGTAGGGAATCTTGCCCTCTGGCTTGACAATGCTGCTAGAGAAGCCGACTAGTGGGGCATCTACCGATTGGAGGCGCGCTGGAGCTATCTTCATCTTTTCGAAAGCTTCGTAGAAAAGGATGTCAGCTGAGGAGCCACTGTCAACAAGGATCCTTTTGACTACGAAGTTTGCAATGGTGGCTGAGATCACCAATGCATCGTCATGGGGGACTACTACCCCCTTCAAGTCCTCATCCGTGAAGGAGAGGGGTTCTTGCTTCTACTTCTTGGGGGCCGGCCCCTGGATGTTCAACTACCTGGCATAGGCTTTGCGAGTTGAGGCCGAGGCTCTGCTTGAGGCCGTGCCTCTCACTATGATGTCAATGACGCCTGCTGCTTGTTGGTGGTGGTGCTGCTGCTAATGAGAGGATGAGGCGTCATCCTCGCCTCCGACGTAATGCTTGAGGTGGCCCCAATAAATGAGGGTGTCTATCTCATTTTTGAGATCATAACAGTCCTCGATGTCGTGGTCGGTCCCTCGGTGGAACTTGTAGTATTTTTTGGGGTTCCCCCTGCGAGGGTTCTTCTTCAATTTCTCAGGCCACTTCATAAATTTCTCCTGCCCTATCTGCATCAGAATCTGTGTGCGGGTGGAGTTGAGTGGCGTGTACTAGTTGTAGGTCGCCTGGTCTCCATAAATTTCTTCCTGTTGTTGTTGCTGTTGTTGCGGCCCTGGTCTCCATTCTTCCTCTTCTTCTCAGGGGCTCCATCCTGGTGCTCTGTGGATCTCTCATGGGCATCCATAGCCAAAGCCTCTTCGACGGTAATGTATTTCTGAGCCCTTTCTAGGAATTTCAGCTTCGTCTTTGAATAACTTTTGGCAACAGAGCACTTGAGGGCCGAGTTGGGGAGGAGCCTGTTGATAGCAGCATGCATGGAGACCAGGGGGTTGAGGTCACGGACTTCGAGTTCTTCATTCTTGAAGTAGTCGATGTGTGACCGCAGGCTCTCTCCTCGCATCTATTTGACAGTCATCAACAAGACAACGCTTTTTTGGGGGCGCCGACTGCTGATGAAGCGGGCAAGGAACATGCTGAAAAACTGCTCCCATGAGGTGATGGATCAAGGAGGGAGGCTAGAGAACCACCGCCGAGCGACTCCCTTAAAGGTCGCCTGGAAAGTCTAGCATGTCAAGGCGTCGGAGTATTCGTACAGGATCATGAGTTCCCTGAAGCTCTCCAAGTGGTCATCTGGGCCTGTATTCCCGTCGCACATCTCCAAGGCGGGAGCCTTGAAGTTCGGGAGCAGAAGTTTGGCGACGATATCAGGGGAGAAGGCATCTATTCTCCCTGGGCAGTTGCTTTGCCTAGCTGAGGTGTTAGTTCGGCCTTCCTTAACCTTTCGGAGCTAGGCTTTGACAGCACCGAGCTTGGCAAACATGGGGTCGGGCATGGCCTGCGCGCCATCCCTGACTTGACGAACATGGTGGTGCTCGATGCGGACTCCGGAGTGCTCAGAGTTGAGACCATGTGCCTCGCACTTAGCACGACGGTCATTCAGGATGTCCCAGAGGTCCGAGACGTGAGGGGAAGAGGCCCGATGCTGGCCCTCGACCCTGGAATGGGTGCTGGGGCGATCGCGTCTTCCGTCTTCGTCTCTCAGATTGGCCCTTCGGCATCAGTGATGCTGCTTAGAGGGCTGACGGTTGTTCTCCGATCGTTCCGACTCCTCCTCCCTTCGGCTGGGAGGTCTGGTGGTTTGGGAGAGCGGGTCAGTTAGGCGATTGCTACTAGAGTCTGAGGGCAAGGTTCGCTGTGCGTGGCCAAGGCAGGGAACCGATTGGTTGGTGGACCCATGCCGGCCCGGCTGTGTGGACTCCCCGGCGGGGTGGCCACCCTGGGGGCAGCCTCCTGCTTGGGGGTATCTCTGCTCGACTCACTGCGTCAAGTATTCTAGGCAGTCGAGCACGACCTGGACTGTTCACTGGTGATGAGATTTTGCGTGTTTCTTGTTCTTCGTACCATGTTGATTGGTTGGAGCTTGGCGGCTTGTTAGCTTGTTAAAGTTCTTATAGGGAGCGTCCCAACGACGTGTTCCCACAGACGGTGCCAATTGTTGATGCTCGGGATGGCTGAGGACAACAAAGTAATTTTGCTGAAGTTGAGGTGTACAGGCCGAGACAGAGAGGGCTCCGAATACTGTATAAGCCGAAGGCAGGTGGTTGAGGTACTACAAGGTAGAACACGTCAGAGGCCCCGGGTGAGAACCCGAGGCAGTCTCCGACGGTCAAGTTAGTTTGGGGTCCACAGAGGGGAGTTAGAATGTAACTCTTGAAATAAGTTCTAAGCCCAGATGCCGATTATATTCGATTCCCCTTACCTGGAGGGGGGCACCCCTATTTATACTTGAACTGCCTGAAGGTAGGTGGAGATGAGCGCATGAGTTGGGAGCCGTACGAGAGCAGTGAGAGAGGCCTCAGGGGACGCGTGGGCACTCCGCGGTTGTCTCCACACAAAGGGGGCAGAGTAACCTCTGTTGTAGCGGATCTCGTTCCCCGTTCTAGTGCTCGTGGGCTGGGCCTCCCAGCCTCAAATGGGCTGGGCTGGGTCACCCAACATCACCAAGGTTTGGTTAAACCCCATCTAACCTAGGTGGTTGATCGATTGACTCATTCGACCCTGATCATTGAGTCATGGGTTGCAGAACTAAACGTTGCAGGTCATAAATTTGTACTTGATTTTTTTATTAAGATGACCTTTATATTGATTTGGGGTAATTAATTTTTCAAGATATATGCATCCCAAATGGCCAAAGTGCCTTTCCCCACTATTTTTGCTAAAAACAATCCCATTCTTTGTCTCAAATCTCTCAAATGTCAAATTGAATATCTTTTTTATAAATAAAAAATTTAAAACTGAAATAAAAATATATTAAACATAAATTAATACATATACATACATATATTATATGTATAAAATAATTATACATTATATATATATAATCCATTTTGATCAGACAATTGAACTAGTGAACCACGAGGTCGGCAAAAAAGACTCGGCCTCTAAGTCGGTTTTTACAACATTGATTTATTCACAACATTACGTATTAAGGATGGTACTCTTATAGCCAATGAAATGATCAAGCAAGTTTGGCATTATTTATAAGGTGGACCAAGAAAAGGCTTGGAGTTATGACAAAGAAAAATGACAAAATTGGATGAAGGAATGCAATTCCACCCTTGGGTCCTTCGTGCTAATCAATGGTCCAGCTAAAATCAAATTTCCTTGCTTAGGAGGGTTAAAACATGGTGATTCTCCATGGAGGGCCTTACTAAAATGGTGGCAAGAGTTGCTGAAAGGGATATAACTGATGGTTCCAAAATAGGCAATAAATGCTTGAACATTGCTCTTATATAGATCATAGTTGATACATAAGCTCCGATGCAATGCTCGGGATTGGAGTTGGGGATGTTAATAAAGATGCATGGCTCTCCTTAGGAGATGGCTTTAGAGATATGGACTTTGACCATTAGGCTCAGTTTGGAAAGAATATAAATACAAACATGTATAATATAAATATATACAAAATAATGTAAAATATAATGTTTTGCACTCCATATATTTGTATTTGTATTCCTTTTAAACTGAACCTAAGGCTGTGTTTGGTTGCAATGCAAATAAATTTGTACTGATGCAAAATTATGACAGTGCAAATGATTTGAGTGTAAATTCTGATCTATTTTTCTTTCAAATTTCAACTTATTTTGTTTGATTGTAGCACAAATGAAGTAAGTTAAGATATGAAGCAGAATAAAGTAAAACCCAAATCAAAGCGAAACCATAATTTGCATTTTTTTTCATTTGCACTCCCATGCATTTGTGCTAGTGCAAATAAAATTGCACTGCAACCAAACACAGCCTAAGGAGTACAAATACAAACATGTACACTGCAAAGCCTTGTATTTTGTATTTTAAGGTTTGGTTTAGAAAGAGTACAAATACAAATATACATAGAGCAAGTGCATACAAAATAACACAAAGTACAAGGTTTTTCACTCCACATATTTGTATTTGTACTCGTTCCAAACTTAACACTAGCATGAAATATGGGAGAGATGTGAATGGTTGGAATGGTAATCGCCGTTTAGAACATTTTTAAGTCCTCTAATCCTTGGAAAAGTGGGAAATGGATTAAGTTCTGAATTGACCTCTAGTGGGAAGACTGAATAGGCCTCTCACTAAATCCTTTCCCCATTTTTTGTGCCTCTTTTTAAAACAAGAACACCCCAATTTTCTCTTGTCTCATCTTACCCTCTCACTATAAGGGATCACATGGAGTTTGTTTCTTAAAAGACCTCTAAAGGAATCTAAGATTTCTAAAGTTGTACCATATTGGGTTCTATTAGGGGGGTTTATGTGTTCCTTCCGGCTTGTAACCATAGAATATGGAAAATCCACTCATCAGGTAGGGGTGCAAGTCGGGCGGGTTGGGCCGTGTTTATGGTTAACCGAGGCCCAACACTAAAATTTGTGCTTAAGGCCCAAGCCCGAGGTCAAGCCCGATTTTTTCCAACCCGAGCCCAACCTGGACTGTAATTTGATGCACTCGGGTTGGGCTCAGGCCTGGGCTGGGCTTGGGTTGGTCAATTAACCCACTCTAAAATTATACATATATAATTGTATTTATGCAAATATATATACATATATTTATGTATGTATGTAAATATGTATGCAAAATATCTATAAAAATGTTATATATACAAATATGTATGTATATATTATACATATATATGCATGTAAATATGTATGCAACATTTACATATATACACATATATATGTATAAATGTATATAATTGGGCCGGGCTCGGGCTACCTAAGGGCTAGGCCCGAGCCCGGCCTAAAAAATAAAAAAACCCAACTTCTTGAGCCCGAGCCCAGCCCGAGGAACAAAAATCCAAGCCCAGCCCGTGTAAAATTCCGGGTTGGGCCGGTTCGGACTCGGGTTGGGCCTGCCCAAGTTGCACCCCTACCGTCAGGTAGGTTTTTTACTAATTCTTTCTTTAAGGCCCTTGTTTTAGAGCCCTAAAACAACAAATTTCTAGCTAAGAAGGTGTGGAATCCCATCATTAGTTTCTCCTTTTGTATGGAAGGTGCGTTTGGCTAGAATCAACACATGGTATTTTGCAAAGGAAGAAAGATGGAAGATTGTGGATTTCTCTCCATATGTGTATTATGTGCCTTCGAGAGGGAGAATCAGCCGACCACCTCTTACTCCATTGTCCATGAGCAAAGAAGTTTGTGGTATTCTTTTTAAAACTTGGTTATAGTTGAGTTGTTCTAGAGCATATTCAAGATTAGCTATATCAGTGGAATGCATAATGTTTAAGTGGTACAGAGAAAATTTACTAAGGCTGCATTTGGTTGCAATGCAAATTTATTTGCACTGATGCAAAATTATGATAGTGCAAATGGCTTGGGTTCAAATTCTGACTTATTTTTGTTTCAAATTTTACCTTATTTTGTTTGATTTCAATATAAATGAAGTAAAATAAGACCTGAAGCTGAGTAAAGTAAAACCCAAACACAGCCTGAAGTACAAATACACATGCAACTATGTTGACTATGTCCAACATAGGAGGTATATGATCTTGAAGAGGGATGGTAGCATTTGCTAGACCTTTAGTGGGGCTAATTGGGGTTGGTAATTCTACAAAAGCTTTAGTATTACCTACGTTAACAGGTTGTGAATAGCCAAACAGCTGGATTTGTCTGTCTTTATCTGTTGAAGGTGGCTTGGGAAACACTATACATAGCAACATTTTTTGATTGCAGCCAAGGATATATCAGCGTTGATGCAATTTAGGCTAAGATGTATCCTTAAGCAGATTAACATGGCTGATAAAAAAACATAAAAAAAAAGCAGATTAACATGGCTGATGGGTTGGCTAAGACGGGTGTACAAAGGGAAAATCTTTATAGTGATGGTATTCTACCTGTATAAACATTTTTTGGGAGGGCTCATTTATTTATTTTTTGTTTTATATATCTATTTGTACAATTTGCCTTTCGTTAGTATAATTATATTATAATTATAAAAAAACTAGATATCATGTACATAGAACAAATTGATCCAATAATCATTATTATTTTTAATATTTTTATTATTATTTGCAAAATTTTAATATAATAAGAGTTTGTTACTAATAAATAATGAATAAAATGTGTGAAAGGCATTTTGGAGACAAAAAATAAAGAACAGTTTGTTAGTCTGAAAAAGTTTTGCTTTTAAAACATCAGAGGTTGAAAATAGACCCAAAAAAATAAGGCCTTAATGTCGGTATTTTCCTGTTTTTTGGAAGAAAATGCTGTATTCATATGTTGATATTATTGTATATGATGATGTTTATCATTCTTTGGAGAAGCCATACGGTGCTGTCTCATTGTCTTGGTTCAATTCTTTTGCTATCTTATTCTTTGTCACCGACCGTGGTGCTCATGCAGTTTTCTCTACGGCTTAGGGTTACAGTGTGTTCCACCACAACATGATTGGTTTGTTTTTTGTAAGCAAAATTATATTGTTTTTGCTGTGACAGTAGTTTTTGTTTTCAAAAACAAAACCAACCATATTGTCAAACACCCCCTCAGTTTCTACTTCTGGTTTCTTGGTTTTATGGTGGATGAACACTTATTGTGATAGGCAAATAATTATATTAACAAAAATCTGAAACAAACGGTTCAATACAAGATGGAGAACTGCCCTACCAAATACAGTCCAAATCAAATAGCTTTCGGAATTATAGTATGGGCAGCCATATTAGAAGTTCTAGAGGTATATTTACATGAATCAGAAACCAAAAAAGCTCTTAGTAGTCTGAATTTTGTCTATCCAAATATGATATTTCCAGGGAAGAACTGATTGATCTTCCAAAGCAGCAGTAACATTCTTAGCATCAGATAGGACAAGGACTGAATTCCACCGACTATCCTTAGCAAAACAAACTTACTACAGCAACCTTAGGCTGTGTTTGGAATGTCACAACAAAGCAACATTTTTTGTTGCCTTGGAGGTATTAAAAAAAAATACACCGATATCAACAGCTTAAGCCACTTTGGTAACCACTAGAGAAGAGCGGTTTGATGTCCTACATGTATGTGGCTGTCAGCTCATTTGACTAAGGTATAAAGACATGTAACTGAGAATAACGAATCAATCTGAGGATCCATGTCCTTTCCATTCACTATTTTATTCATGTTTTAGTAACAGAAATACTGTTTTGGGAACAAGGGTATATTCACACATGGGAGGAGAAAGGCCAACTGGAAAATCTTTACCATCCATGAAAGATAGCTTGAGATTACATGACACACTTCACATAAGTTAGAATGCAATACTGTGACTACATTAGCTCTACAGTCCAGCCCATCTTGTCCTCTGAAAGCCCCATCTGTAGACTTGTAAGTGAAGAATAGAGTTGCTGTGACACAGCACCAACGCCAGTCTTCCCATAGGACACCCTGACAAAACCAAAAAAAAAAGTGTCAATTAAACTATCAATCCGTGGTTCAGATCCTATCTTGTCCTCACGTACAAGGAAAAGATTTCCTACTCATGTCAAGAAGGGAATCTTGCTAGACATCCCCACCTATTGCTGCCACATGATTCTTCTTAAGATCCTCACCTGAAATTTATCTCTTAGAAGAAGAATCATGTCAAATTGAATATACCTTCTCCAACTTACGGATTTTATACGCCCATCTTTAAAGACTTGATGGAAGTTAAGAAGGATCAATATAATCAGAAGGAATTTCTCTATGGAGCCATGGAACACAAAAAGATAATCTCATCAATCAGAGGACAATACACATATCAATGGAGGGGATCGGATTTAGATATATTGACCATAAGGAATTTGTGTCTTCTTAGAAAGTAGGTCTTCACTCCCCTTTCAGAGACTGCAATCAGTTAATCATTAAAGTATGTTTAATACTCCAATGTATGGGAATGCTGCAAAACTCTTGTGTACCTTTTTTTGACCTCAGTAATCTATTAGAGGTATCTTTCCTCTCTTTTCCTATCAGGTTCCAAGTTAGTCTAGTGAAAGAACATGCCTTCCTTGCTTGTCACCGATTCCTTGAAGATGGTGTAAATTTCTCTCATGACTGTGAAAGCTGAAATCCCTTGGCTTCCATTTGCAGTTTTTCCACCCAATCATTATTTCTGGCTCTATGAATTCCTATGAAATGCTGAACTTTTTTCCCTTCCAAAGTTAATTCAAAATCCCTTGGTCACGTCTCAATTTAAAGCCTTCCGATGGGAGGTTGCCCACAGGAAGGTCAATTTTGACTTGCTTTGCGGAAGGCAAAATGATTAGTGGCTTTCTCATTCATGCACGATTTATGAAGCAATGTGGAATGTAAAACCACCATACATTCATTGAATGGTTGCCTCACCATTTGATGCCATTTCAAGGAGCTTTTTGTTGTCTACTGGGTATCACCAATGAAAATTCCAATAATGGAGGTGGCATCTAACTCTATTGTGATGGAAGGATAAGTTGTGGAGATGCAATCTCCTGGTTTCCTTTCAAGGAATCTGAACCCAAGGTCTCCTTTCCCAAGACAAGAAAACTAATAAGGCATTGTTAATTGGATTTCAATGCATTTCAACATAGGCAGGCATCTCTTCAAAAAGACATCTGTATGGGTGGGAGTTGTTCTCATTCTCCAAGCCTGAAATAATTAAGTTCTGTGTTGATGGATGCCCATTGGGAACCAATAGACCTATTGGCATCAGAGAGTTACTCAAAGACAATCATGATATGTTCATCCTTGGGTTCCAGCAGTGTAGGCTAGGTGACTCTATCAACATAGGTTTTCCACTTTTTTTAATTCTTTTGTGGTCAATAATAGGTGAAATTTCATCAAGAGGGAGAATTAAATACAAGGGCCTCATTTCTGAAAAATAAAGAAAGCAGCCAGGATTTTTTCAGTTTCTTGTGTAGCATTGAAGTTATTATCTTTTTGAAGTAAAATAGTAAATTTATTTTGCTACAGTTTCCTCATTTAGAATATTAAGTTTCAATAAAGTTTCAAAAACTCAGCTAATGGCTGCCAGTTCACCAATAAACAAATTTCTAAATCATGTTAGAATTAACTAGTAGACCATCAGATCTTAAAAAAGAAAAAGAAAAAAAAAACAACAAAGATAGAAGGAAATTACCTTTCACCTAGGTAAGTTATGCTTCCTACAGGCGACACAACCACTGCTGTTCCTGTACAGAAAACTTCATCAGCATCAAGCAACTCTTCTACTGATACAAGGCGCTCCTCAACCTGCATATTATCATCGAGTGTCAAGAAAGGAAATAAAAGATTAGAGGAGGAGAAAATGTGAGAAAGAGGACACACTTGAAGAAAGGAAGATCTTGGGTTGTCTTTGACCCCCTTCACTACTATTAATATGAATCTCAAAAATACACAGAATTACAATTTTTTTTGATAGATAATACACAGAATTACAATTCTACTCCTGCCTACCAATAATAGAAAACAAGCAACAAATAATAACTGAAATTAGTTTAAACCATCTCTACTTTAAATCTCTCTAACACTCCACCTTAATTTGAGCATAGAAATCTTTTTTTTTTTATCAATAACAGTGAATTTTATTAAATATTGAGAAATTACATAGCTAAGGAGCTAAAAAATCTTAACTCCCTAATACATCAATGTACACCCAAACCGTAAATCAATTACAAAACAGCCCACAAAATAGAGTTTCTGTTCACCCCTTGCCTAGCTAAACCATCTGCAGATCTGCCAATGAGTTTGCACTTCTCTTTACCCATGTACAACTAACTTCAATGTCCTAGTCAGCCACTTCTATGCCAATGAGCATAGAAATCTGTTGAGATGTTAAAGTTGCCACGTTAAGGACAATGTCTTATTTGGTTTATAGGGTTAAATGTAATTTACCTGTATTAGTATAAATCTCAATGAAAAATACACACACCAAATACTTTTTGCTCTTCTTTCAATCTCTTCTCCTTTTTCTTTCTTTCTTTCTTTTTTCTCTTCTTTTTTTTTTTTTTTTTGATAAAGTCTTCTTTCTTCTCTTTTCCATGACAAAACAATCTTGTACACTGCTTCAATCAACTACTTGCTATTAGAGCAACTCTCCAATCAGGGACTTATTGCTGCATGGATGTTCGGGCTGCTGATGTCAGCAGGACATACAGTTTGCATAACCTCCCTATAATGAAAACCCTAGTTCCTAACCAAACATGATTCTATACAGTTTTCAATACGAGTATCAAACTATATGGTTGCTGTGTTGGCATTCTAAAGGTTTTTTCTTTGAGAAAATCAGGAAAAAAAAACAGAACTAAAGGTTGAATTGGTTTTGCAATGTTTAGGTGTTTTGGGGTGACTGACTGACTGATGAGTTGACTCAAGTTGGACTGATATTTGTGAACTACCTAAAACTTGTTGATGGGGATCTGTTTTGGATAAGTAATGATGTTTTTGCTACAAAATATTTACCACCGGGCCTGATATATGTTTGCTTCATTGCCAGTATGAGATGAATAAATTATACCTGCTAGTGATGTTTGGTTGACCTTGTTTACATCTATATCTGCTTTGATTAATATTTGGAGTGTTGCTTCTGTTCAGGACTCTGTTTTGAGGTTCGTAGTTTGTTGGTTCCAATGGTAAGTGGTTAGGAACTGAAGAAGGGGACTGCTGGATATTATTTGAGGGCAAGTGATAGCCCAAATATCCAAATTACTGTAGTGAAATTTGAAGGTAGCAACTTCCTAAATGGTCTTAGTTCACGAAGATGTACATTCGAGGTCATGGAAAGAAAGAATACATTACAAGAATGGAGGAGAAACCCAAACCAATGATCCTAGTTATTGTAGATGGGAGCAGAACCTGATAATTATATCATGGCTGACTGCTAAGGACATTTAGGATAGGGGGAGAAAACTCCAGCTATGTACTTTTCTTCCCTATAATACCTGTAGGAAGAAATAGATCATTGGAATTTGGAAGGCCCTAGAGTAGAAGGATCCATTGGAATATGGTGAGCAGTACAAGAAGCATATGGAGAAACTCAGTCTGAGTTTTTGGATAGGCTTGGAGTTTACGAGGCAACGTATATTGAGTAACAAGCTGTGAGTTTCTCGTTCTCCACTGTATATTCCCTTGTTCAAGGGGAAGAGTCACCACGCTGTTTTGGTGCCTACAGCCTACTCATATGACTAAGCACTCCGCTATGATATCTACTAAACCTAAGTAAAGCAGTGGTTTTGGAGAAACTTAGGTGGTAGAAGGGGAAGATATAGTGTGTGACTATTATAAGAAACCAAAGCACACAAGAGACAAGTTTTGCAAGCTGCACCAAACTTAAAATTATCAAATCAAGGTTTAAGAGAATAAAGAAGAGTAATATGCTTATGGCTACTACTTTTGAGACTCTCACACCTCAAGGTTCTAGCAATGAGAAAACGGTTTCCAAGGCTGAAATTAACAAACTTAGCTAGAAATCAATATTAATATGAGTGATCTTGGGTCTTCGTGGTCCATCTATATCCTTTGTTACGTCAAGTAATCCCATAGCTATCATGCTTCTCTACCCACCTTTTGGCTTATTAGTAAGTGTGCATGTGCTTTGCACGTGGCAATTCTAGATGATGATAATTATAGTAATAATATATCCAAAATTTTCTATAAACTTTATGTATTTTTTATTTTTTTATTTTTTTTATTGTTAATCAAATGCAGATTGCAAAATCCCAATCTGATTACATAAACACCTCATCCAAATATGTGATAATCATATTGAATTGTGAAGTTTTTAGTATCATTGACAGGCTTACCTACTTGGCTAAACTCTTCTTTTTGTAGTGTTTTATCTTTTTGGTGTATCTTTTTTCTTTTGCTCATTTATTAAAAAAAATGTAAGATTTAAATAGAGGGAATTGAATGAGGTGAAAAGTAGTAGTTCAATTTACATACAGACTAGACTAGACGATCGAACCATTTGGCCCGGGAACCAATCAGGTCACTGGTTCCATTTTGGTCCCAAACTGCTATTTTACAAAAAAAAATATTGAAATGGTCAGAGAATCATTGACCCAGATGGTTTAATCGTTAAAATGTTCAACCTGTTAACGGTTCTCAGGTTGCTTTCGAACTAATTCCAATTTTTTTATTTATTTTAAAATGGAAATTAGAAAATAAAAAATTGAAAAAATAAACTTTCATATCTCATAATCTTGTCCAGTTATTCCCAATGGCCAAATTTAGTTAGGGTTTTTAGTTTTTCCATTTTGGTTTTGAGCTTCTCATTTTTGTGATTCTTTTGAAATTGTATCAGCAAAAATAATTGCAACTCCAATGAAGAAATTAAAAAATTGATGCAAGAGATGAGAGATTAAACGATGATCATATATTAAAAATCTGAGATACACCAATGAAGCAAACGATTTTGGGATCTAAGAGAGATTTAGAGAGATGTAAGAAGAGGGAAAACACCAAAACGGTGTTGTAGTGACGGTGATTATGAACATGGACATAGCTGCCGGTAGCTCCTTTCATTTTTCTCACTTCTCAACTTTAACTAGCCACCTCCTTTTCGAAGTTTCACACTCCCCTCTCATAATAATGTATATATATGGTGGACTTTGACCTAATCCAAATCTAATGGTCAAAATAAAAAGTTAGATTATATTTTACATCTTACCAGTTTGACCCACTCAAACTAGACAGTTGAACTACAGACTCGAAAACCGAAAGCCAAAAGCGATTCCGTTTCCAGGTCGGTTTTTAAAACCTTGATTTTAGTCAAAAGAAAGTTCTACAATCTTATTCATATTTTTAATAGTATTGTAAATATAGAATTATAGATGTGTCCAATTTTTTCTATAATTTTTTTTTTGTATTTTTGTGTAAAAATAATTCTGATATGTCACACTTACTTTTTGTTTAATATGATAAACATATGATATTATACATGTGCCTGAATGCTTTTTTTGCAAAATTTATGTATTTTTATATTTTATTAATTTTTATTATTCATTTATGACATTAAAGGTTAACACATTTAACCCAAAATATGAACTATTTATTATTAATTTTTATATTTCATTTGTTGTCAGTTCTAAATTGTGTATTTCATTTTCATTATCAGTAAAAATAATTCTTGTTTATTACACTTTTTTTTTTTAATTTGATTGATAAAAATATCAAAAATGTGCCTAATGTTTTCTACATTTTTACAACTTTCTATATTTATTTCCATTTTAAAAATTTTACTACTTAACCATGACTTCATAGGCTAATCAATTTGATTCAGATGGTTGAATTGCTTAGCCACCACTTGGATAAAGAATGGTTTTGTTTTTTAGTCAACTTTAAAATATATGGGTTAATACTATAAAAATATTGACATAGATCTAATTAGTAGCATTTATTAGTGAAAAATAACTTAAAAATATAGGACTTAATAAGAGAAAATGGGATTTAATACCTTAAGATAAGACTTAATGAGAGGGGATTAAATGAGGTGGCAAGTAATAATTGAAATTACATTTTCAATCCTTACAATTAGAGATGGATTAAATAAACAAATATGGCCGTTTTAGTAGCCATTAAAGCAGACATTAAATCTATAATAAAATGACTTTTATACCCTTTTTCAAACAAAGAAATAGAGGATAATTTTAGTCCAAAAAAAGTTTCAAACTGCATCCATATATATTATATATGAACTCAAATACCTCTTATCACATGATAGGTATGTTGTCTTGTATCATTTCATATCGTCTATCCTTGAGAAGAGATTAAATTGCTATAGATGATGGACCCATACTCCTATACAATGAAGTTCAATTAAGTAATAAAATTTCTCTAGAGTTTGTTCTACATGTTCCTCAATAATATACTAGCCTATCATCTATGAGTTCCTTCACAATGTCCTTGGAAGTGAAAGCGAAGTATGTAGGAAAGAAGGAAAGTCTATTTATGAGTTGAAATAGTTTCAATATGCTTGATTTGACAGATTCAAAGGAGCAATATAGAAGGTCGGGTTTGCTCGGTCCCATATTGACCAACTCTCTTCATTAAGAGGGATGGTATCTTAGTAACTATTCTGCTTGTCTACATGGGTTACATTGTTATCACATGGAGCAATATGGCAGAAATCTCCAAATAGAAATAGTATTTGGCTATATAATTTAAGATCAAGGACGTGAACTTAAGTGCTTTTTGGGGATAGAAGTTGCTAGATCAATGGGCATTTTCATTTCTCAAAGGGAAGTACACTCTTG